CTCGAACAAAATAAGACTGTGATCAATATTAGATTTATTGCAGCAAAATGTTGGTTAATTCCAATCGAAATGGATAATAAAGCTTTTTTGTGTATACCATTATTGCATACTATTCCTTTTTATAAATAANGGTTATTTATCACTTTAGAAATATAATATAAGCCAAATTAATTATATTTTGTAAGTTTTAAACTTTATTTGATCAAAAGTTTGTGTTTATTTCCTCTTTATTCTGCAACCAATGTCTTATTTATGTTTCTTGATTTGTATAGCATATGTATACTGTCTTATCAGTCACAACTTTATATAAAAAAATTTTTTTAGTTTGTTGTAGTTAAATTCTTAAAATATAATGAAAATAGCGAAGATAATGAAGTTGAATATGAGGTAGGACGCACTAAATGGTTAGTTGGCTTTAACAACAATAACGATTATATAGACAAAGAGTCAATNATATTGTGGCCTCCAAAGTCATCTGTGGTTAGTAATGCTGTGAAAATGGATAAAAATCTTGACTCATCATGGAAAATAGAACAAGTACAAGTTAAAAAATTATATGGTATCTTGGAACTTCTTCTATCTCATTTTTTCTTGTTTTTTTGCACAAATTATATATTTTACTACATGATTTATTTCAGCTGATGTTTTATCTGCTCGAAATGCAGCTAAAGGATATGAGGCTTCATCTACTTATGAGTCTGAGCGTGAGTTAGGTAGGGGTTGTCNAAAAAAGAAAAGAAAACAAAATTTCTTATTTGATGACGAATATCCAAAAAATAAATATTGCAAGATACGACCTATTGTGGATTCAGACACAGAAAGTGAAGATGATAATTTATCTTCTAATAGTAAGGAAAAAACTGTTCCATCTCCACCCCCAGTTCATTTTTTTAAATCAGAAAAATCAAGTAAATCTAGAAGTAATGAAGATGAAAATCTTTTCGAAAGAGTGAAATCAAAGATGACATTACATTTGAAACAAAAAAAACACTCAAATAAGAACTCTCCGAAGAAGCTTAAGTTAAAACAGTTTAAGCAAGATTTTTCTATGGTTACTCTAATGCAATTATCTAATGAAGATTGGAAAGAAAATTTACCAGAAAAATTTAACNAAGATCATGATTTACAACTATGTGAATCATCCAAAAGTTTCACATTTGAGAAACAAGACGATAGTGCTAAGGATGTTATTATGACTCCACAGAAAAATTCTAAGACATTTTTCAGCTCTTCAATACAATTTTCTAATGATACACCTCGGAAAAATCTCGGAAATCCTGCAAAAGTTTTTAGCTTTCAAGAGTCACAATTTAATCAACATGAAAATAGTCCTACAAAGTCCTCTAGTTCTCAACTATCATTGTCTAATAGTCAGCTTAATAATTCTCCA